GAGAGATAAGGAGTTAGTCCCTAGTCAACCACTTCGAGCCTAGAAGTAGAAGTTTCCTTCGGATTGCTAAACCCTTACGCTTAACCTAGGGAATGGGTAGTGTTCAGTTAACCTGATTACGCACTCGGATCACGAGACGACATCCAAAAGACATGACGGTTGTTCATCAATAACCCTTTGACATGGCAGTCATAATCCTTCAAAAAAAAATCAAAAGCCTGCTAAGTCGAATACCTCAAGAGGAGACTTAGGCAAAAATCAAGGCAATCCCGATGGACTCGAAGAACAAGATCAGTCCAGGCAAAAGTTAGGGATCAAAAACAAAACCAAAAAGAGGTCCTCAAACCCTCAACGATAAAAACAAAATTCGGTGGCCACCCAAATCAAGGGGCACTAACATCTATCAAAGAGAAAAATAAGGTGACTGCCATCTCGAGCGAACCTTGAACCATCTAGCTTATACCGTCAAACAGGTGCAAAATTAACTGAACGTAGGTATGGAGATCATTACGAAGAAGGGGTGGGTACAAATAAAATTTTGAACCTTATATCCTTTGTTTCTATAACCGTGAACCAGACCGCGTTACAACCCTCAAAAGACCTAATTGAGGCGGGGTTTATTCTGAAAGCATACTACAGCAAGGTTGCGTAAACTGACTCCTACATATTTGCTAATCTTATGCATTGGTGTCATATTCTTGCTATATCTTTCACACCAATTAAATCAGCATTGCGTTTGGATTAATAGTCCACTCGTCACACATTTTCACATCATTCCCAATAAATGATATTTTCATAACTTGCATTAATGTCGCATTAAAATTACCATTTTTGAATGAACACTTTTAACTGCAAGTCAATACTTGGCATTATGGAAATTCCAACAAAGTGCAATCAAAGAGGAACTTGATCACTCATAGGCGTTGACCTGAATTAAGAATTTCTCATAACCCTACGAATCTGGGGCAAGCCCTTCTGAGGTTTAAACCAGGGCAAGCCACTGCAAGGTTCAGACACTGGGGCAAATGGGTTCAAGCCATATTCTGGTATAATCATCGCCAAAGTTCTCATCCCAGAAGAAAGTCCATCAAACACTTGGCAGACTGGGGCAAACTGGTTGAACTTGAGGCAAACTAGCTTATGGTGGAGGTCAACAAGCGTCAAAGGCCTTGGGGCAGAGCAAAAGCACGACTAATACGTATTGGTTAAGTCGCTACGCTCGCGCAATCTAAACGCATTGGTTAAGTCGCTACGCTCGCGCAATTCATATGCATCGGTTAAATCACTACGCTCGTACGACTAACACGCATTGGTTAAGTCGCTACGCTTGCACAGTCAAAATGCTCCGGATGAGTCGCTACGCTCAATGCTTGTAAGTCATCATGACATATCATCCAGAAGCCAGGTTCTTACCAGAACGAGTATACCACTTCTGCAAAGAATCCAACAAGGGGCAGGCTACCCAGAGTTTCGTTTGATTAAGGGGAGTCCCTCCAACGCTCAATCAGCACAAGTCATGTCGCTTCAACGCTCATTCTGGAGCAGACTACCTCAAGAATAATTTGAAGACAATTACCCCAAGGGTCAGTTAATCAAGGTCAAAACCCTTTCCTGATTAAAATTTGCAACAAACCATCTCGAGATCATCTCATGGTATATCTGCGTCCGAATTCCTTTCACGATGTGGAATGCTGGGGCAGGCCATCTCGAGTTCATCTCATGGTACAACTGTTTCCAACTTCCTTTCACGACTTGGAATGCTGGGGCGAGCCATCTCGAGTTCGTCTCATGGTATGATTGCTTCCAATTTTCGTTCAAGGAAAATTCCTTCATAGACCCAAACTGGGGCAAATTGAACCATATTGGGGCAGTTACTCAAGCAAGTTTATTCTCGTCAGCAAAAGTTCAGTGTCGGGGAACCATGCCATCACCCCCACCAAATAACCTTAACCTCCTGAAAAAGCCTCTCTGTCATTGGATTTCACCTCCCACGGCCTGGACCTGATACCTGTCAGAGCTTTGTAATCGAAACAAATCCTTCAAAGTCCAGTTCTCGTCTGGCAAATCATTCTAAAGTCCAATCTTTTATTGGCAACCACAAAAAGCCACTCCAATTGGCACCTTCAATTCACCCTAAAAGTCCAGTCTTCATTGGCAACCACTAAAAGTCCACCCTCGATGGCATCCTCATAAAATCAAAGTCCGAATCCATTTGGCAACCACCGAATCCAGTCCCTGGTGATATCCCCGACAAGATTTTATCCCCAGCATACCTGGTCGCTGCATTATCATAAACACAACATATCATATCATAATCATATCAAGCATTAACATATCATTTGCATTCACATCGTGCACTCCCTAACAGCTACATCTTAGTTGCATGTTTGGGCATCATAAAGCATTGCATTACATAGCAACATAGCAGGATCCAGGATCAGTTCACAAGCATCTTGGTCAGTCCTCCATTGAAGTTGGTTGTATGACTCTGAAAATATTTAATACCCCACGAGTTCAGGGAATTCTACTCCCCAGCAAGTCAGTCTTCAACCATGCAGTTGATGATGATAATCCCCAGCAATTATTGCTCTGGTGGCTCCCCAAGCAAAGGTTATCTTAGAGAGTTTATCGAAGATTTCTCCCCTGCAGAGTTTGGACAACGTTGTTCCTTTAAATAGGAATTTTAGCTCAACTATTCCTCAGCAAAATTATCACTCGAGATACTGCTTTGGTATCATTGGAGAGCCTTAATGGATAAGGTACTGCTTCGATCACCCGAAGAATCTCAAGTTTTGTTCGAGATACTGCTTTGGTATCATCGGAGAGCCTTAATGGATAAGGTACTGCTTCGATCACCCGAAGAATCTCATGTTTTGTTCGAGATACTGCTTTGGTATCATCGAAGAGCCTTAATGGATAAGGTACTGCTTCGATCATCCGAAGAATCTCATGTTTTGTTCGAGATACTGCTTTGGTATCATCGAAGAGCCTTAATGGATAAGGTACTGCTTCGATCACCCGAAGAATCTCGTGTTTTGTTTGAGATACTGCTTTGGTATCATCGAAGAGCCTTAATGGATAAGGTACTGCTTTGATCACCCGAAGAATCTCGTGTTTTGTTCGAGATACTGCTTTGGTATCATCGAAGAGCCTTAATGGATAAGGTACTGCTTCGATCACCCGAAGAATCTCATGTTTTGTTCGAGATACTGCTTTGGTATCATCGAAGAGCCTTAATGGATAAGGTACTGCTTCGATCACCCGAAGAATCTCAAGTTTTGTTCGAGATACTGCTTTGGTATCATCAAAGAGCCTTAATGGATAAGGTACTGCTTCGACCACCCGAAGAATCTCAAGTTTTGTTCGAGATACTGCTTTGGTATCATCGAAGAGCCTTAATGGATAAGGTACTGCTTTGACTACCCGAAGAATCTCAAGTTTTGTTCGAGATACTGCTTTGGTATCATCGAAGAGCCTTAATGGATAAGGTACTGCTTCGACCACCCGAAGAATCTCAAGTTTTGTTCGAGATACTGTTATGGTATCATCGAAGAATCTTATTGGAAAAGGTACTGCTTCGATCACCCGAAGAATCTCAAGTTTTGCTCGAGATACCACTCTGGTACCGCGAAGAACCTTATTGGATAAGGGACTGCTTCAACCACCCAGGGAATATCATGTTATCTCGTTCATCTATTTTGCATCTTGTCATCCCGTTCAGGTATATCCCACCTCTTTGCATTTTTTACTTCCTTGTCGGACAAATTTTGGGGTCTTCTTGTATCTAATTGACTTCCACCCTAAGAATGAACGCCATGCAGTTGTTCATTCCCTCAGGTTCAAGGCAATTAGATAGGGGCATCTGTCATACCCCAAATTTGTCCTACCTTTTTTCAAAATTCTCATTTGCCCGACTTTGTTTTTAATTTACCTCGCTTATACAGCGTAGCGTATTTTTTAGCAAAAGCAGGCATTTTCGCTTTTTTAGCCCAATAAGGGTATGCCACGTGGCATTTGTTTTTTTTATATATATACCTATTTTTTATATATAATTTCATTTTTCTCGTGATAGGTTAATATAATGTTTTTATTTTTTTAATTAGTTTTGAATTAGAAATTAGGATTTAAATTTAATTGTTTTAATTAAATAGATTTAATTTAGAGCTTAATTATAATTTAGAATTTTTTGATTTTAAAAAATATAGATTAAAAAAATAGAGTTAGAATTTAATTAGGATTTATTTTAAAATTTTTATTAGAGTTTAATTAATTGGTTTAGACTTAAAATTATAATTAATAATTAGAATTAAATTAAATAGGAAAATATATTTATTAATTTAGTTTATTATTCAAGGTTATTTAAAGAAAAATAGAAAATAGATTTAATTAACTTAGTTTATTATTCAAAAATTAAAAAGAAAAAAGAAAATAAAGAGAAATTGAAGGACACGGTGGATTTTATTTTCTTCGTTCAGATTTGTGGATAGTGTATATAAGGCACTGTTCATCATACCCTAGAAAGGGGGGGATACTGTTCACCCTAACCCTAATTCTGAGGGGCAACCCCAAACGGCCACCCCAATTCATCCCCAAACAAAAAAAACCTAATTCGTCGCTCTCCCAAATCGGCGCCGCCACCACCTTCTGTTTCCTCAGTCTCCACCGCCGCTCACACAAAACCTTCACGAAGCCAAATCTCTCACGAAACCCTCATCACCGTCTTGTCTCTGTTTCACCCTCTTCCACAATCACTTTCACTTTCTCACTTCAATTGCGGTCGTTCATTTTTCCTCTTTCCCTTCCACACCACTTTCTAATTCACCTCTTTCTCTTAAAGCTTTCACCTTTTAGTACCTAGTTAGATCTGATAGTGGTGTTGACCCGGTAACATTTTTAGAAGGAGTCAAGTGAATGAAAATAACGAGGTTCTTTTTTGCAATGTTTTAAAGTGCTGAAGATAAGAAAGGTTCAATTTTGAAGTGGTGGTTGTGCACGTGAGAATGGAGGGTCGGATGAAGAAGTATAGACAAGTGAGTCCAGAGAGGGCTAAAGTTTGGACTGAGAAACCACCAAAGTACCACCAGAATCTTAAGGTACCTGTGGTTTACTATCTTTGTCAAAATAGGCAACTAGAACATCCTCATTTCATGGAGGTTCCACTTTCTTCTCCAGATGGGTTGTATTTGAGAGATGTGATTGATAGACTAAATTCATTGAGAGGTAGAGGCATGGCTTCCTTGTATTCATGGTCTTGTAAGAGAAGCTACAAGAATGGATTTGTGTGGCACGATCTTTGTGAAGATGACCTAATTCTACCGGCCCATGGAAATGATTATGTCCTCAAAGGTTCTGAGCTCTTTGATGAATCCAATTCAAATCGATTCAAACCTATTAACGATGTTAAAATACAAAGCGTGAAGCTGTTGTCGGGGCCAGCTTCTTGCCGGAGTCACGATGAAGCTTCCTCCTCTTGTAGCATGAACGGAAAAGAGACAAGACACTCTCAGGATGACGAACTTTCCCAAGAACAACATACAGGTTCGTTTGATGTTTCTCCGGAGTCGAGCGCCGAAAAGAGCGATCCAGTAAGCTTAGCATTGACAGAGCAACGAGGCTTGTTAAGTCTCAACAAGGTGCTGGAAAAGAGCATGTTTGTATTGCGAAACTTCATTCAGCTGTTCCTGATGTTGCTAAGGTTTGAGAATGATATTGATGCTGGTGAGGAGGTTGTGCTTATGACGACCAAGGGCGAAGCTATTGCCCTTGGGATTGCTGAGATGACTACTGCTACTATGGCTAGTTGTGATCATGGCGTTGTTGCTAAGATCAAGAGGCTGGCTACTGAGAATCAGAGGCTGGTTGCTACGCATGGGGTTCTGAGACAGGAGCTTGCTGGGGCATAGCATGAGCTGCAGATGTTGCACGCACATGTTGGATCGCTTAAGGCGGAAAGGGAGCAGCAGATGAGGTATGTGGTTGATAAGATTGCGAAGATGGAGTCGGAGTTAAAGGTGGTGGAGCCGTTGAATATGGAGTTGCAAAAGGCGCGTGGGGGAGGCTCAGAGTTTGGTGGTTGCGAGGGAGGAGCTTATGGCAAAAGCTCAACATTTGAATCAGGAAATTCAGAGGGTTCATGTTGATGTGCAGCAGATTCCGGCTCTCATATCAGAGTTTGAGCATCTCAGACAAGAGTACCAGCATTGCAGTTTATATGAGTGTGTGTAGCAACAACCAGTTGGAACCGGCAACATTTTAATTTTGCAGCAGAACTCGATGCCAATGTCGTAACAGCAACTCCGTAGCAGGGAGCGATACAAGCATTACAGCAGAGCAGTTTGATCTGGTGGATTTCAAACTTGTTTTTTGGGTGATGTACGTTCTTATGCAGGTATGAGTTCGAATTTGTATCAGGTTGGAGTCAAGCTGGTGCGATAAAGATGTTGCCATATAGTTGAAAGAAAGAACCCGTCCATATGCCACGCTGCTACTGAAAGCTGAGGTGGTCTGATTACACAATCTCGGTAACGATTTCGAGTTCTGTTATTGTTGCATTGTTTCGGTTTTTGGTTTCACAAGTCATGTTGCTGTTATGACCGCTTTATAGTAAGCTGTTATCATTTTGAATTTTACTTACATCCCCTAAATTGCTGAAAGTTATTATACTTCTGTTCTGATTACGATGAATTTCAGAATTATGATGTCTGAGTTTTGTATATAGCCGATTCACGTTTTCAGAGTGTCGCTGTTGTTGGATTCAGCTCTTGGTAATCTGTGTCGTAATGACAATATGCCAATTTCAAGATGATATTATATTAAAAACGTGTTGCACCTTTATGACCTTTTGATTGTACGATATTAGATGCGGTTTAAGAGCATATATTATTTCAAGCTAAGTATTGTTCTGGTACAGCTGCGACCTTGTTTTGATTACAGATCGACACGGTGACAACGTAACAGGTTCTACAACAAACAACAGTTGTAGCTCAAACCAGCAACAACAATCACGATTGGAGTCGGTAAACAGTTAAACACTGTTCAGCTCTCTGTTTCAAGGACGCATTGTGTTTCAACACATCCGATAATGCATCAATAATTCAAGCTCATCCTGTGATGGTGTTGTTAGTCAGATTCTTCGGTGTTGCGAGAACAAAATTCCACGAATGCGTCGGTGTGACGATTATTGAACCATTGCACTATTGTGCCTCAGCAGCATGGTCCGATACAGACATTTCAGCTCAGCGTACAACACAGCATGGTGGAAACATCCATATCTTTTGACTAGCTTCAACTACGGCTCGACATTACGGTAACGGTTAAGGTCATGTGCTACTAGTTTATATGTTTGATATTGAGCTTCTTTGTTTGCTTTGGAATAACATACAGAGTAATGTCATTGAAATTTAACTAGCTTCTTTGTTTATGTATCTGAAATTTAACTGTTGCTTCATGTTATCGACATTGAAGTTAAATTTTAAAGTATTCATACACTAGAAGCAGGTTATCTGTTGGCGTTTTGTTCTGTTCAAGATATTTATAGATGCCTATTTTCTTTGTGCAACACTAACTGAAACTATTCTTTGTTACTTTATGGTTTCGTAAGAATATCGATGAAGTTATTGCGTGTCATTATCCCCTGTTATGTTGATAAAGTTATAAGCATTGCAATTTAGTCTCATACGCATAATTAATCTGGTAGTTTTAAAAAATTTATGGTGCATTTCCTTGCATATGTCGTTAGTGTGATTTCAGTTGGATTATGGTGATAATAGTTGATCAAATTTTGGGAGTTTTGTGGCCTACGTGGTTACTGATTTAGGCGAATGATTAGGCATTTGGATACTGCACTACATGTAGATTGTTGATATTTCACTCTTGTCAGTAATGTTTTGGCATATAATAATTTCCAATGTTGCTATTTGGTATCTCTATCTTATATCTTAATTAACTAGCTTGTTTATGGACAACATTTAGATTTAAAATATCTTTTAAACTAAATTAAAATCGTCATTCATTCTAATTAGTTCTGCTAAACTTTTTCTTAATAAATAACGAAAGTAGTGGGTTCTTAGGGTCTAGCATCCTTTGAGTCCTTGAACAACCGCTCTCGAGGCGCACGCCCTCGAGTTGTGGTTGTTTCGTCTTTCGGTTTTCAAATCGTTTTTTTCTCAATTAAACATTTTATATTAATTAAATATTTTTATAAAAGTATATATTTCAAAAATAATACTAAATATATTTTAAATATTAAACTTTTTAATATAAACTTTTTCAAAACAATTAATTATAATAACATTTTAAGTATTAAAAAATACACTTTATTGATTAAGTTAAAATGTTAAACTTCTTTCAAAACAATTAATCATGATTAGCTTTTCTCAAAAACTTTTTTTTACAATTGGTTAATTTATTTTATATATAAATTAAACTATTTTTCAAAATGAAATTTCAAAACAATTAAATTCTTGGATCTCGCCTTCCTTGAATTTTTTAAGCGACCACTCTCGAGGTGCACACCTCGAGTTGTGACCCTTTCGATCTTATTTTCTAGAATACATAGCGCGCCTAGTCCGAATACATTAAACTATTCAAAATTGTTTTCATAATTAAATCACGAAATAATCGAGTTCCTGGGGTCGCGCATTCCTCGAATTCGAAAGTGACTACCATCGAGGCGTACGCCTTGAATGGCGTGTCGTTTAAACTTTCGTTCTTAAAATACCTCCTCTAATTATTTGGGCAAGTACTTTCACTGTCCAGCAAACACTATTTTATAATTAATGGGATGTAAAAGATTGTTGTTGGGATCTAGCATTCCAATGATATCCCGACTAATTGATTACGAGGCCGACGTCTCGTTTATCGAGTAGTCGTCATTCCTCCTAATTTTTCAATCCACATAATCTCATTTCTCACCCTCGTGTGATTGAATCAAAACCTCCTTCAATTCAAACTGTTTCACGTCTAAATTGTCTATCAAACATATTTCGAATGAAAAAGGTATCGTTGGGATCTAGCATTCCAACGATATCCCGATTAATCGATTGGGAGACTGACGTCTCGTTTATCGAGTAGTCGTCATTCTCCCCTAAAATATTCAGCCCAACTTTCTTCTCTCGCCCCGTGCGATTGAGACCTTCTCAAACACATTTCGTAGAATCTTTCGAATGAAAAAGGCGTCATTGGAATCCAGCATTCCAGTAATTCCCCGATTAATTGATTGCGAGGTTGACGTCTCGTTTATCGAATAGTCGTCATTCTCCATCAAACTACCTAACCAAAATCCTCTTTTCTCGCCCCCGCGCGATCGAAACCTTAAACCTATTCAAATATATTCTCTAACCAAAAACATCCAATACGATAAACCAAATTCCTCGCCCTCGTGCAATTTCCAACCAAGACACCTTTTGTCAAGAACATTGTTTAATCCCTTCTTCCGCGCATATGAACTCGTGCTTCAGCCTCCCCTAGCGAGCAGTCAAGCCAACGTTTAGCAATTAGAATGCGACATAAACACTCGTTCGTTCCCATACCAAACCTCCTTACCGTAGTTAGCCGAACTACGGCTGCTCTGATTTCTCATTTATCAATGAGAATACGTAGGCATAGGATTGCGATGATCCTAGCGAGCACTCTTCCACTTTTCCTTCTTTCCCACCTTTAGGTTCCCATACCTTTTACCAAAGAACATTGTTTAGCCCATTCTTTCGCGCATAACAAACTCGAGCTTCAGCCTCCCCTAGCGAGCAGTCAAGCCAACGTTTAGCAGTTAGAATGCAACTTAAACACTCGTTCGTTTACCAACCCTTTTACCGTAGTTAGCCGAACTACGGATGCTCTGATTCTTCATTCTCTTCTGAATGCAAGATACGTAGGCACAAGATTGCGATGATCTTGGCGAGCACAATCCCCTCTTTTTCCCGTAGTCCCACGAACTACGAATGCTCTGATTTTCCACTTCTTATAAGTGAAGATACGTAGGCACAAGGGCCCCAATCCTTAGCGAGCACCCTATCTTAAAACCACCCATTTCCCTTATAGGAGAAACCTTAGAAGAAAACAAACAAGCGTAGTTAACTTTACTCTCGAATCGAATCAAGAGGTTCCCGTTGAGTACAACGGACGTAGAGGGTGCTAATACCTTCCCTCTGCGTAATCGACTCCCGAACCTAGAATATTGGTTGCGATGACCATGTTCTTATCTCCTTTAAGGTTTTATCGATATTTTCCTATTCCATCCCTGGAATGAATAAAGTTCGGTGGCGAATCTGTTTCGAACAGTATTTTCCGCGGCCATCGCGAGGATCGTATTTTTCGAGGTACGACAGTGAGGATATTATGGGAAAAGCCCAAATTGTGAGATTTAACAAAATAGAATTCTGGAAGGAAAAGGAAATTCATTTTTGGTGTTAACCGTGGAATTGTGGCCAGAGCTCTGAAGAAAGGTCGGAAGCAGAAATCCCAAGTGATCGTGAAAAGCTGCAGATTCGACTAAGGTATGGGGAGTATTGCTTTTCATAGTTTTATATGTATGCCTTTAGATGTGTTTATGGTTAGTCTATGATTTAAGGTATTTTGGGTTGAATTGGGAAAATTAGGGAAAACAATGATAAGACTCTAAGAGTATGGCTAATAGTATGTATCACTGAATATTGATATGAGAAAGGAAACCTCAGGCCTTTGTGACCAAAACCTTAGATTGGTATATATCTTCCCATAAGGGATAAAATATTTGATATTTGAAATTACGATGCCTTCAGAGCAATTGTAAGAAAATTGACGGTAGACCCTGGAGGTTAGTGGTTAGTATTCTTGACCCTTTGAGTGTAGAGATGAGAAATAGTGATTTTTTCCTTCGTGGCCAAAACCTTGGGTTGTGATATGTTTGACCCAGTAGGAATAGGAA